CACTCAGGCCTGGCTCCCCAGCCCAGCGGCCCCAGGGGCAGGGGCCTCTGCCCACCGAGAAGCTGGCGAAGGCCTGGGCGGCCAGCAGGTCCATCACTCGCTGCTCGATGAGGCTGAGAAGCAACTCCATTATCTTGCTCCCCATGTGGCTGCCTCCCAGGAGCTCTTTGAGCCTGGTGTCATCACACTTGGCCTTGTAGAACAAAGACTTGGTGGCTGCAGGGTGGGCCGGAAGGGGGCGGGGTCAGCAAGGCTGGGGCAGCCCTGCTCCCAGGTGGTCCCCACCCATCAGCCCCTCTCAGACCCTTGGTTTCTCCTCTCTCAGCTCCTGACTCCCCCCTTCCCCGGGCCCCCCAAATCCTTGTGCCTTTAAGCTGAGAAGGTCTTGCAGACTGGCCCCGAAGTCATCTAGGTCACCCAGGTCGCCTCAGTCCTGGACACCCCCTGCCCTCTCCTCTGCCTTCTGCTGGCCTCAGGGCCCCTCACCAGCCTTCAGCTGGTCTAGCGTCTTGCTTATCTTGTCCTGCCTGTCCTCTACCGCCTCAGCCTCCTTGGCCAAGGCCACCTTGCGCTGCTCCAGGGCATCAAGCTGCTGACACTTGGACCCCCGCTCAGCCTCTTCTTGGGCCAAGGTCAGCTGAGCCAGGGCATCCTGGATCTAGAGAGGACAGCAACACCACTGGGGATCCCTGAAGGTCCGAAGGGTCTTTCGTAATCCTCCCACAAAACTGTCCTCATCTAACAGACGAGACCATCCCTCTCCCTAGAGGCGGGGCCCAGGAGGGGCTGAAGCTGAGGCCTGGGATCCCTCTGGGGCAGGGGTGGGGACCTCCTGCACCAGGTAGGGCCTCACCTGCTGGGTCTCCTCTGTGAGCTTCTCCATCTCGGAGTTCTGCTCATTGATAAAAGTGAACTCGGCAAAGTTTCTTTCCTCATCTGAGGAGAGTGGAAGAGAGAAACAGGGAGAATTGAGAGCACCAGAGAGAGAAAGAAGAGAAGAGAAGGGGAGGAAGGGAGGGAGTGGGGAGAAGGGGGAGCAGAGGGAGGGAGGGAGAGAGAGAGAGAAGAGAAGGGAGGGAAGTGAGGACAAGGGGGAGCAGAGGGAGGGAGGGAGAGAGAGAGGGTGTGGGAGAGAAAGGAAGGGAGGGAGCAGAGGGAGGGAAGGAGTGGAGAGAAGGGGAGCAGAAGGAGGGAGGGAGAGAGAGAGAAAGCGAGAAAGAGGGTATGAGAGAGAGAGAGAGAGAGAGAGAGAGAGAGGAGGAAAGAGGGAAGGAGGAGAGAAGACAGGAGAGAGGACAGACAGAGACCAAAGGCCAGGGGGAGAGGCTGGGGCTACCCAAGGCTACCGCCTGACCTCCCTGCCCTTACTCTCCAAATAAGTCTTCAGAATGTCGTCAGCCTGGCTGTGGCCCGTGATCTCCCCCAGCTTCTCCAGCACCTCCTCGTACTGCACAATGGCCTTCTCGAACGAGGTCTTGTGGAGGCCCTCGGCCGCCTCTTGCGCTGCCAGGAGCCCCAAGTGTCAGCGGCCCTCTCTCAGCCCATCTGGCCTCCCTTCCCTCCCGCTCCTCTCTTCCTTCTCAGTTTCCTCTCAGGGAGGACCAGCTCCTCAAGCCCCTGGGACCCCTTCTCCCAGTTCCTCCTCTGGCTGCCCAGGCCCAAAACACCCCACTGGAGGCTCCTTCTGCGGAAGGATTCAGAGAAAGAAAGGCCTCCGACCTAGGCATTAGATGCCCCCACCCCTTCAAGTCCTCAGTTTCCCTCTCTGTCAAACAGGGAGGATGATGGACATGATAACATCTAAAGAAGTCATGTGCCCTTGGCCAAGCCCCTGCCTCAATCTGAGCCTTGGTTTCTCTATCTGCCAAATTGAGGGGAATTCTGTGGCTCGTGGGTCCTCACCCCGCTTGTGCCGGGCCGCCATCACCGCATCATCCACAGTTCTCTCCTGGTTCTTGGTAGCCAGGAAGTTGTGCAGCTGCTCAAGGTGGCAGATCTGCCTCTGGACCACCTGCAGCTCTGCACTGTACTGACTCAAGTCTTTGTCCAGCTTCTCCTGCAGCTGGCTCAGCTTCAGCTTGGCTTCCTCCCTGCCCGAGGGGGGGCACACAGGCATGTGGGGGGTACACAAAGACATGATGGCAAAGGCCACAGAAGCACATGGGGGTGCAGAGGCATGTGGGGGTGCAGGAGTACTTGGGGATACAGAGGCATGTGGGGGGTGAGAGGCACATGGAGGTACAGAGACATGTGAGTAAGGGCCACAGAGGTACATGGGGGGGGGTGCAGAGGCATGTAGGAGTGCAGAGCCATGGGCGGGGGCACACAGAGGCACATGGAGGGGCCACAAAGGCACTGATGGGGCCAACCCTTTTGAAAGCCAGGCTCCCTCAGTCCTGGATGGGGGCCTCAGGAAAGTAGACTGAAGATGAGACCTCAATCCTGGCCCCAGGGAGAAGCTCTGTGAGCCTAGGGTGGGTTGGCGCTGGCTTCCTCAGTCTCAGACAGGGACTGTACCAGAAACATATAGAGGGGCCTGGAGAGCACAGGGAACAGTCTAGACAAACAGATTTGAAGGGGCGGTTGACCCCACACCACATAAAGTCCCAGAGAGGCCTAATGGAGAGAACTGGTTCTCTCAGTCTTAAAGAGGGTTCCAGAGATATCGAGATGGTAGGAACTTGGCACTGCATGCAGTCCCAGGAGCCACTCCTGGCCTGTCACAAGCCCCCAGTGCTCGCACTCACCCAGTTCAGAGAGAGGACACCCTGGCACACCAAGGAAAGGCCAAAGGTTACCTGGCATCAAAGGCTGCATTGGAATTGTCTATGTGGCACTGAATGCTGAAGCGGATGTCCTGTAGCTCCTGCTTAGCATGGGCATGGGCAGCAAGTTGGTGAGGGAGAGAGGCCAAGCCCAGCTCCCTCCTCCCTCTGCCTAGGGGCCCTGGGCTCTGACCTTCTTCAGCTGGTGGTCAAGATGCAGAAAACGATTCCTCTGAATGTGCAGCAAACCCAGCTCTTCCCGAAGGACCCTGTTCCTCACCAGCTGGGTGTCAAAGCGTGTGTTGGCCTGCAGGGCATCAGGATGGCAGAGTCACCCAGCTGGCTCTGCAGGCCACCTGGCCCCCCCCCCCCATCAGGGCCCCAGGGGCACTCACCCGGTCTAGCTGGTTCTCCAAGACCTTCACTCTGTGGAAGTTCTGGGCCTTCTTCTGCAGGACTAAGCCTGGGCCCCTGAGATCCTTCAGCTGCGTCAACACTCGACTCTCCCACTTGGCAATCTGGAGCCCGGGGTGGGGGGTGGGGGCCGCGGAGAAGGGACTCAGTCTGTCCTCACTCTGCCAGCTCCCCCTCGGCCCCTGCACTGCCCCGCCCCCAGGCCCCACCTGTTGGTCCAGCGTCTTCAGGTGCTCCTGCTCCTGGACCACCTCCTTGTACAGCTGCTGCCTGCGCTCCAGGAGGCTTCGAAGGCCCTTCTCCCGCTCCTGGTCCAGAAGCCTCCGAGCTTGGCTCTTCGAAATCTTTATCTTCACTTGAAGCTCAGTCTGCTCCTGCTGCAGCCGATGGATCTCCACCCTGCCGGGCCAGAGACCAAGAGCTGGAGCTGGCCGGCCGCTGGGAGCTGGGCCACCCTATCCCACGCCCTCATCTGTTAGATGAAGGGACCCGCCCTGGGTGGCCTCGAGAGCTCCAGCATCCTTTCCCAGCCCCCCCCCCCCCCCCCCCCCCCCCCGGACCCGGGCTCACATTTGCTTGTGTATCAGCTGCTGGGTCGCCCGGCCGTAAGCCTGCCGCTCCCCCTCCATCACCCGGCATTGTCTCTGCAGGCGGCTCAGCTCCCCCTCTGCTGGGCAGGGGGCAGGTGCGGGGTGCTCAGCCGGGGGTGGGGCTGGGCCAGCGGCCCAGCTCCGACCCCCCCGGCCGGGAGCACTTACCTGAGCTATCCAAGTAGGCTTCGCTGTCCTCCGAGAGCACGCTGCTGGCCAGCGGCATGGTGGCTGGGGGGAGAAGTCTGCTTGGGGGGCTCTTGGGGGGCAGTGGAGGATCCAGGTTGGGAAGCTGGGGGTGGGGGAAGGGGCACCCGGGGCCCTACCAGTCTGGACACGGACCTCCCGGTTACCCCCTCTGTTGTGGTCCTGGTTGCTGGGGCGACGGGATCAGAGGCGGGGATTGGGGAAGCCGGCCTGGGCGGGGCGGGGGCCTGGGACCCCTCCCTCACGCTCCTCCCTCCCTTTTCCCCTTTCCCCTTCTCCCCCCGCCCCCTCCCTCTGCCTCCCTCGGGCCTTTCCCCGACTCTTCCAGGAGGAGGCTGGCTCGGAGCATCTCTTCCAGACGCCTCCCAGGCCTCGGGCGGGCCCAGGGCAGGCAGGCAAGCCAAGGGGGCGGGGCGGGCTTGTGAAGGAGGGGCTGGCGATCAGAGGGGAATGTGGAGCAGCCCGGGGGCGGGGCTAAGGGGATGGGGGCAGGGCCAAGCGGGAGATGGAAGGGAAAGCTTTGGGAGGGAGGGGCTGGGGGAGGAGCCACTGGGTGGAGGGTAGCTGAAGCTGGGGGTTAAGGGGATGTAGGAGCAGCAGCCATGGGGCTGAGGGGGAGGGGCCGGAGAAAAGGGGGGAGGAGCTGCTGAGGGGCGGGGCTAAGGCTCAATCTGCGGGTGGCAAATGGGGCGTAAGTAGGTGGAGGGAGAGCTGCTCACCGCTCCTTCCTCCCCCGCGCCCTTGCCTTAATGCGCCTGCGCACCCACAGTCTTCTAACGGCCCGGAGCAGGAGGCGGGACCTTGGGGGCGGGAACGCCTTCCTGGGCCCCGCCCCCTTCCCCAGTGGGAGGGAACACCGCCCCGCCCTGGCCCCGCCTCCAGCCCGAGCCACCCTCCACGTGCTGCCAGCCCGGGGCTGGGCGTCGAAGGCAGGCGGGCTGCAGGCCAGCTCCAGGCTCGGTCGCCCACGGGACGGGGCGTGCCCCAGAGCTGCTTGCGGTTTCCTGTGGGAGGAAGCAGCAATCTCCTCACTCTCCTCCCAGGGCTCAGCATCAGCCCGGGGGCTGCCAGCCTCGGACCCTCCTAGGCACTTGCGACCAGCGGGCCCACCTCCCATCTGTCCACTTGGGGCCGCCCCCGGGTTACAAGTGTTTTCTGCCATCAAGATTAAATCTGCCTCTTGGACTCATAGCTCCTGGTTTGGCCAAGCACTGCTCTAAAGCCAGGAAACAGCTGTGGGTTTGGAGTCAGAGGTGCTGGGTTCCAATCCTGCTTGGGCTCATGAGCTAAAGCAAGTCCTTTTCTGGATCTGGGCAGAGCTTTGCTCTGTGGCACAGTTTGAACCTGGGGCCTCGGGCTCCCATCAAGTTCAGGGCTCTTCCTGGCTAGCAAGCAGTGCTCAGGACACCAGGAGCAGTGGGTGCAAGGAGAAGAAAAAGGCCTTGAAATGAGGCCCCAAAGCTCTTTCAGCCCGCTGGGCCGTGGTGTAACCTCCACCTGCTCCTAAACTGTGCCCCCTCCCCCTTCCACACCCAAGTTACTGGTTAGGTATTTTATATCTAATTATCTGTGTATTTGTTGTGTTCCCCACCCCCACTAGAATAAAAGAAAAGCCACAGGGCGGGAACTGGTTGTTTCTGTTTGTAGCCTAGTGTTTGGCACACAGAAGGGGCTCAATAAGAGCTAGTTAGATGAAACTGAATGCAACTGAACCCAGTCCTCCAGCTGGGTCTGCCCAGGGCAGGGCACAGCACTCTGAACACTTAAATTCCCTGGGCTTGGACTCGAAGGTTCTTTGTCCATGCAATTCAAGAGCTTCATTGGGCCAGCTGGGGGTGGGGGGGCCTGGCTTCTTAGGCCCCGTGCCCAAGTGCCTGACCACCCAGTCAACCAATCAACCTATTGGAAAAATTAAGCTCCTCCCTCTTACACAGGACGTAGATACCTTGAAGATTATTATCCCCACTTTACAGATGATGTCGATGAGGCCCAGAGTGGTAACATTTTGAGCCAAGCCTCTAAATTGGGTCTCTTCAATCTCACTCCAGTCCTTTTTCTGGGAAGCCAGACAGCTGCCATCCCATTTGTGCCTCCCATCTCCAAAGGGTTCCAGACATCCCTCTTGACCCCTCTGCTGAACATTCTCTTCATCCTCTCTTCTCTCTAGGTTGTTGGGACACCTGGGGGGAGGGAGTTCTCCTCCTCCACCTCTGACTACTCCTTCTCTGCCTCCAGATCAAGCCCTCTCACAGGACCGCATCCCTCAGGGACTGTCCTGGGCCCTAGGAGTTCACTTGGGGATCTCATTAGCTCCCATGAATTTAATCACCCCCTCTATGCTGATTTGTCTCAAATCTACCTCTCTTGCCACCAACCCTCTGCAGACGTCCCATCCTGCATCTCCCACTGCCTGTCAGACATTTCAAACCACAAGTCCAGCTCAACAAGAGACCTCTGGCAATTAAAGCCTTTCATAACCTGCCCCCTCCTCCCTTTCCAGTCTTCTGACACCTCACTCCCCAACACATAGTCTTGAATCCAGTGCCACTGCCCACCTGGGTTGTCCCCAAACAAGACACATTATCTCTTGGCTCCAGACAGTCTCTTTGCCTATCCCACATGCCTGAAACACTCTCCACCCTCCACTTTGACTATGATCTCCCCCAAAGGCTTCCCCAACCGCTCTTAATCCCAGCTCCTTCCCGCTGTTAATTATTTCCCATTTATCCTGTCTATAGCTAGCTTTGTATATACTGTTTGTCCATCGTCTACCCTATTAGATCACAAGCTCCTGGAGGGCACAAACTATCTTTTAGCTGGGTTGTTTGTTTGTTTGTTTGTTTTGTATTTTCAGCCCTTAATACAGTGCCTGGCACTTAGCAGGTGCTTAATAAATATTTATTGACTGATTGACTTCCTAAATCATGCTCCTGCCTTCCAGCTGCCTTCCCCAGCCCTCAGTCTCTGCAGGCCCTGGGGCTAGGGGCAATGGCGAGAGAAATCGGAAGACACAAGGTTGGAGTAGACAAATGAGCAAGACACATAGAGATAGAGACAGAGACAGAGAGACAGAGGCAGGTGGTAAGACAGAGAGGAAAAGAGACAGAGAGACACACAGAGAGGGAGACACCGAGATGGTGTATGACTTCATGGAGGGTTGGGTCCCTCCCAGGCTTCTGCTTGTAAATAAAAAAGAAGTAAAAGAGTGTATATCCCAGAGGCAGAGAAGAGACACCCACAGACAGAGAAATACAGAGAGAGGCAGAGACCAGGCAGGGACCAAGAGGAAGAGTGGTTTGGACCAGATAGAGTAGGGAGTGGGTCTTCAGAGGAAGGAAGAAGGCAGGGAGAGAGAGGGAGGAAGGCGGGGGCCGGGCAGGGGGTGGAGGGAAGGAGGGAGAGAGCAGGGCGGGGCAGGGAGGCCGGGAAAGGGGACCGAGCATTAGCCTTGACTTCCTCTGGCTGCGCTGGCTAAGTGCTTCTCCCGTTATCTGAGAAAGAAAGGAGCCTTTGAGACTGCCTTCAGTCACCTTCCACCTCGCCAAGGAGAGGGTAAGAATCCTAAAGCACTTAATAGTTAGGTATGCGAAGGGGAGAGGAAGGTGTGGGGGGGGGGGGGGGGGGGGGGGGAGAGGGGATAGGCAACATTCCTTGGGATCCACAGATGGGACGGGGCGGGAGTGGAGGGTGTTCTGCCAAAGACCCCAGCTGTCTCTTCCTGCCTCGTCCTCGATCCTCTGGGGATCCAGGCATCTGGGCTAACAGCCCTTACTCCCCAGCTCAGTCCCACAAAGACCCAGGATTCCCTGCCTTCCTCCACCCCCAACTTCCACACCCCAGTTCTCCCTCTTGGCCAGTTCTCTCAAGGGACCCAGGGGGCTCTCTCCCAACTAATTCCCTTACCTGCCCTGCACCAAGCCTTCCCAAGCTGCCTGCACCCCAGTTTTGCTCTCCTAGGGATCCAAGCTTCAGGCCCAGGTTTTCCATCTCTGCCCTGCTAGCACCCAAACCTCCGGCACCCTGGCCCTCTGCCCCCATCTCATTTCCTTAGCCCTGAAAAGCCCCAGGTGTCTGGCTGCCCTGCCCTTGAGGGAGGGCTGGGGTTTCTCTGGTGGGAGAGAAGGGGATGAGTCACAGTGACTCACTCTGACCCCCTACCAAGGAGGAGGGAAGAGGGGAGGAGAGCCTAGTGGATATCTGGGTCCCTGAGGCTGTGCCCCACCCCAGCTCGGAGACTGGGGAATTGCTGGGAGGAACTAGGTGGGGCAGGTTTCAACCCTCACATCAGGGTTCTAGTTTTTAGAGGGCCCCGGGCAAACGCTTGAGTGTGGGAGGAGGGAAGTGAGGGGAAGATCCCAATCCAGCTCCGCCCCCCCCACTTTCACTCCAGAGCCCAAACCCCTGATCCTTTGGGGATGCAGGCATTTCCTCCAGCTCCACAGGGGAGGACCCAGGCTGGGCTCCCAAGCCATTGACAGCCCAGGGCCCCAGGTGTCCTCAGCCTGGCTCTCTCCCTCCCCCCAGACTGTGGGCACCATGTCCCTACTCCTGGTGGCCGTCTCTGCCTTTCACATCCTCATTCTCATTCTCCTCTTCGTGGCCACCCTGGACAAGGTGAGACTGATGGACTTGGGAGAGGGGTGTTCTGGCTCAGGCCTGGGCTCTTCCTCCCTGCTCCCATATCCCTCTCTGACCCAGCCCCTCCCCTCTCTGCTCACAACCCAGTCCTTTCAATCACTCTGAAAGTATCCAGCAATGCAAAGCAATGCAATTTAATACAGGCTGTGCTAAGCACCTTTGGGATAACAGAGACAAAAGTGAATATTCCTTGCCCTCAAAGGGCTTACATTGTAAGGGAGAAACAACGATAGACACACACATACATATACATACACAAAAACATATACGCATACACATGTATCCGCATGCACAGACACATACATGCACACACACGTACACGCCTCATACATACACATACATGTACATGCATACACACAATACATGCATACACATGTACCGGAGGGAGGGCACTATGTTGGGGACAGGAGGACCAAGAAGCGCTTGGTGTAGAAGGTATTTGAGGTGTCTTGAAAGGAGGGAGAGGTGAGGAGGGGGTTGTACCCCAGGAAAGGGGACGGGGAGTGAAAAGATGATGGACCTTTGCTGGCATTGGTCCATAATTGGAAGAGGGGTACCACCGATGGGGCTGCTATAAGAGAAGGATTTTCCAACTAAACAGAGGGGTTATTTTTAGCCCAGGGCCAACAAGGAGTCAGGGGAGCTTACTAAGGGGAGAGACGTGGTCAAATTGGAGTTTAAGGAAAATCCCTCTGACTCCATCCATCAGTCCCTCTCCTTCCAAGCAGGCTCTGCCCCTCTGCCCCCACCCCATCCCCCATATCCCTGACTCTTGTTATCTTCCCTAATCTGCCTTCTTTTTTTGACCCTGACTGGTCGCAGTCATGGTGGGTCCTCCCTGGGAATGACTCACTGAATCTTTGGAAGGAATGTGTGGCATACACGAACCAGTCTTCCCAGGTCTGGGAATGCAGAAATGTCAGCGAAAATGGTGAGGGAGAGCACACCCCCAACCCCCAAAGCTCCCCCCACCCAACTGTACCGAGGGGGTGGGAGGGATTGCCATTCCCACGGCCCGTTCACAACAGTCCCGGGGGCAGCCCCTGATTGTGAGGGGCTGCCAGGGTTGGGATCCCACGTTCTGAGGAGGGTGGGGCCAGTGCACTTATTAAACACCTCCTACGTGCCAAGCACTATGCTAGGTGCCAGAAATACAAGGAGCTTACAGTCTAATAGCCCGGGCCGAGGCACGCAGTCCCAGGGATGGCGGGGGGGGGGGGGGGGGGGGGGGGGGGGGGGGTGGCGTGGTGCGTGGGATCGCTCTGGCGCCCTCCTGTGGCTGAGCGTCTCCCACTCCCCAGGCTGGCTGAAGGCCGTGCAGGCCCTCATGGTACTGTCCCTGGTGCTCTGCTGCCTCTCCTTCATCCTCTTCATGTTCCAACTGTACAACATGAAGCGAGGGGGCCTCTTCTACGCCACTGGCCTTTGCCAGCTCTGCACCAGTGAGTGACCGGGGAGCCTCGGGCAGGGCTGCCCGATGGGGGGAGGGGCCGGTGCAGGGAGGGGGCCAGGGTGACTCCCTCTGTCCACCCCCCAGGTGTGTCGGTGTTCACCGGGGCCCTCATTTACGCCATACACGTCAAGGAGTTTCATCAAGCCGACGGCTCCTTCGGCTACTGCTTTGCCCTAGCCTGGGTGGCATTTCCCCTGGCGCTGGCCAGCGGCATCATTTACATCCACCTGAGGAAGCGAGAGTGACCTCCCCCTCCCCTGGCCAGCTGGCCCTGGCTCACAGCGCTGAACCAGTGAGACAGCAGCCTCTCCAGCCCTGCCTCCCTATGCCACCTTGGCCTGGGGCAGGTCAGAGGCCTCCTCCGTGGAATGGAGGAAGAAGAAGATGCTTTCTCGGTCCTCCTCCTCCTCCTTCTGGCCCAGCCCCTCTGACACACACTTCCTGCCGCGGACACTCAGTGCTCTGAGGTCCTTTCTCCAGCTCTGACTCAGGCAGCCAGTGGCACAGTGCCCAGATCACGGGGCCAGGAGGCAAGACCTCAGTTCAAATCTGGCCTCAGGCACTTACTAGCTGTGGGACCTTAGGCAAGTCACTTAACCTGTTTGCCTCAGTTTCCTCAACTGTAAAATGAGGGTAATGATAGCACCTTTCCCTGAGTTGTTGCAAGGATCAAATGAAATATTTGTCAAGTGCTTAGCGCAGTGCCGGCACACAGCAGGTGCTCTGTAAATGCTTATTCCCTCCCTTCTCTCCCAGCTCTGGCAGCCTCTGTTCTAAGGTCCCTTCCTGTTGTAACATGGCCTCGTAACAGGCCCCTTCTGTCCTGACATCCCCTGTTCTACAAAGTCCCTTTCAGCTCCGCCTGTGAGCTCGAAGGTCCCTGCCAGCGTGACAGCCTTTAGCCCTGGGGTCTCTCTGAGCTCTGACCCTCTACACTAGTATTGGAATGAGAGAAGGCAAGAGCCTGGGGCTTAGTCCTGGCCATCTGACCTTAGGGAAGTCACTTCCCCTCCCTAGGCCTCAGTTTCCCCAATTATAACCAGAAGGCACCAACTGTAGGGAAGGGTAGAGCCCGGGAGCCTTGCCCTGGCTCGGGCACCTCCTGTAGGCCCCGGCCTCTTCCTCTTCAATGGCAAAAGCCCAAACTAGCTCTGAATCTTAGGATTAATGAGGCAGAATGTCACCAGGTACAAACGAGAGCCAATGGAGTAAAGTGCTTTGTAATCTCTCCAGTGAGTGTGAACTCTGATCATTCTTGAGTTCTGTGCACCGGACACCCTCCCTTGTGGCCCTGTCTGCTCTGGCACTCCCTGGAGCCCACAGGCTCGGGGGGCCAGGGGCTGCCTCCACCATGGGGGGTCCTTGTGGGGCAGGTCCCCCCAGCCCCACCTTCCCAGGCAGATGACAAGCCCAGCTCCCGTGAACCCCTGGGGAAGGGAAGAGACGCCCCCCAGCCAGGTCCATTCCAACGTTTCAGGAGAACGGGGCAAATGCCTTTCTTTCACAGGATGCCCAGGCATCCCGGGCCCCCACCACAACATGCTCTGGGCTCACATGGCCCAGCCCCCACTGCTCACACTGAGGGGTCCCTGCTTAGCCAGCCTTGCCCCCTCAGGCCCCACACGCAGGGCAGCCCTCCCCCGCACACAGAGAGTGGTGTAAACAGGGTTTATTTCTGTGGGAACTGGAGGATAGATGGGGACAGGGATCAGTATTGCACACGGAGGGACACGGGGTGGGATGGAGCCAGAGGTAGCATTGGCAGAAGTCAGTATCGAAAATATCAGGGTCTGGGGAAGGCACTGGCATTGGGAGGGCAGACCCTGCTGCTTTCCCAAGAGGCCGATGGCAGCGGGGAGCAGCAGAGACACCAGTCTCTCCCAGGGCCACGTGCCCCTCCGTCCCTGGGAAAAGAGTGGCCCTGGGCTGTGAATTTCAGCCCACTGGAAGCCCGTGGGCCAGCACTCTGACCCGTGGGGCCCTCATGGGCCAGGCGGTGACAGGAAACTCATTCCCTGCTTGGCTGGGTCCCAGGAGGCGCCAGGGGTCTCTGAAGCTGGGCAGCCCAGGAGGGTCGAGAGCTTCTGCAGAGATTGGGTGGTGGGCCAGGGGACATGTTTCGAGACAGGGCTTCCAGGTGGCTGAGGGCCCGGGCCCCGTTGAAGGTCACATCGCAGCCTGTCCGGGCCAGGAGCCAGGCCTCTACGGAGGCCTGCAGCCACCTGGCACTGTCTAGGGGAGGGGAAGGAACGGATCAGCGGGTGAGCCCTGGGCCCTGGGCCGTCAGGGCTCGGTTCTGGGGAGCTGCTTACCCTCAGGAGGCCCCGGACCCCTGCGCCCCATGAAGCTGTGGGCCAGCAGGACCTCCTTGGCGTGCTCCTCCTGGGCCCGGTGCACCAGGGCCGTGATCAGCTCTGAGTTGTTGGAAGTGCTTCGAAAGTACAACATGTGGGCTAGCTCTAGGGCCTGCAGGTTCCGGTGCTGGCCAAACATCTGTGGCGGGAAAGTGCCAGGGAGGGGACACGGGGGGGGGAGGGGA